TCTTCCCCCCCCCCCCCCCCTCAAAGCAAAATCCTGGTCATGTGCCTGATGTCGCAGACAATGACGTTCTCGACATCCATCCATTATTGTGAGTCCACTCTTGTCTATAATGGATGGTCTTTCCTGAAAGTTTTTTTAGTTGCTTTAATTAGCATTCTATCGATTTTTTTGTTTCACCTTTTAGTGACAATAGTCAAGAATAACATGTTGTACACAGAACAAAAGGATTCACCTTAGTTGCTGCCATAACTAAAGATGGATGTTGTTCAAGAAATAGTTGAGCGACTTCCGGGAAGTTATTTTGAGCTGCAACATGAACTGGTTTCTGGCCGAGATCGTCAGTGGCATCAATATCTGCGCCAAGTTCTAAAAGTAACCGACACACTTCAATTTGCCCGAATTCAGCGGCTAAATGCAGAGGTGTTTGCTTCCTGAGAGTTAGTACGTCTATTGTTGCGTTATGGTCTTGAATTAGAAATCTGAAACATCGCCGCGGAGATTAGAGATAGTAAAGTACATAATTTAAATCATGAGACTATCGTTAAGTATCGGTATTAGATTCAAAGTTATAGAGCTCTAATCCATACAACCAAAAATAAAGTAAAATAGTTCGTAAAAAATTGAGGATACAGAGACTTGAAAGCACCATGAATTTGAAGTTGAAAAGAAATTAGAAGAAAAAAAACAAGATGGGATACAGTCAAGAACCTGAACTTTTCATTCTTATTTGAAACAAGATCCAAAACTCATTACAATTTATCAGATACTTGAAGTTTTCATACCTACACAGATCTGCAAATCCATTGGCTGCTGCTAAATGCAATGCGGTGCGACCAACCCTCGATTTACTGTTGATGTACGCTTTGTGCGTCAACAATGCATCACAAACCTGAAACATTTGCATACATTTTCAACCAGGGAAATGAAATAAAAAAAAGCAATAACAATGAGAGTGGCAGAAAAAGTAAGGAAGTGAAAAAACAGGAGAGATTAATTGCGTAAAGTTTTTCACTATACCTAAAACTTAACAATTAAAAATTTGTTATTATCTTGATCTCTGCCTAGAACTATTGTAGTGGGCACTAGACTTTTGATAGATGCTGTGCTTTTTTTCCTCATGCTATTCCTCTATCCTGATTCCTTTCTTCCCTTCTATATTTGACCCGAAGAAGAGGTCACGGGTCATGCTATCTTGATCCCACCCCCAATCCACCATACTGTTGTAGTATCTCACTCAGGACGATCTGCATCGGCCAACGATGTTACCTTGAGAAATCCTCGTTCAGCAGCTAAGTGGAGGGCTGATCTCCCCTCTAGATCGAAGACATCGACCCTGGCGTGATTGTTCAACATAGTGTTCACCAGCTGCATGTGTCCACGATGACAGGCTATCAGCAAGGGAGTCCAACCGAGGGTTGTTTGTCTGTTGAGGGCTCGCTGAATCTCAGATGTTTGCAGGTGCGCCAGCATTTGTGTCAAGACATCGTTGTTTCCTGCGACAGCAACGTCATGAAAAGCTGTCTCATGATTCTGTAAACAGATAGATAAGTTTAGGAAATTTTAAAACTGCAGTTTTCATAGCTCAAGTGAATATAATATTTTGCGACTCGCATTCGATTTGTGAACAAAATGTCCCAGTGTTAAATCGCCAGACTGTAGGAGCGTGTTTTATAGGTTATAGGACATTTCGTCAACGATTCTTTGTCCGCGCACCTGTTTTTTCCAGTAATTTACGTCCACGCGTTTTTTCGGCACGGGAGTTTTGGTCTACGTGCCAGTTGAGACCCAAAGTTAATTGGCCCACATGTAAATACAAACGACAATTGCTCACGACGTTTTTGGATGAACATGTATAATGTCTTGGAATAATGAGGATTTGCTTGTTTTTTTGTTTTGTCTGTTTGGTCCAACGGAGAATAATAATAGTTGAAAGTTTTGGTAAAAATGGGGGAGCGTCAATTCCATGAGACAAAACTCACTAAAACTATCTACACCTCTTTGGTGTAACAGGACTTAATTATCATTGAAGAAATTCCCACCTTGTTATACCTGAACCGGATAAACCTCTATATTTGCCTCAGGTAAAGGCTCTTAGATTTTCCTATGTACGATAAGTATCTTGATTTATTTTGCGAGGAAAGATCTGTACTTTTAAAGGATGTCTGTCATTCTTAATACGTTCGATTTCGTATAATATTGTGCAACACCTCTGTTGTGAAATAGTTGCTGCAGGCGCCGCCGCACGGCGGGCGGGCGGCCAGCGCAAAACGCGCATTGGCGCCTACAAACCTAAGTGGATACTTCAAGCATTGTGCAATGCGTGAAGTATCCACTTAGGTTTGTAGGCGCCAGTGAGCCTTCCGCGCTGCCAGCACGCCGCTCCGCTCTGTTAGGCTTTAATATTTATACTCGCATAGTCAGCGATTTTTAACTCATGATTTTGAAATGGTTGCACACTCTGCATTGATTATTCTCATTTAAATTGATGGGGAAAAACATATGTATCAATTTATCAAAGGGGAATAATAATATAATGTGTGTTTTTTTTTAAATATTGGTGGTTCCGTGTCAAATTTAATGATTTCCAAAGCACTTTAATTTTTTCTTTTACATTTTGTGCTTTTATTGTGCTGCAGCGAGGTGCACGCGCAACCAAACGCTCAAAATTTATCGTATTTGACTCTAAAAGATCGATGTACTCGTATAAATGGGTTAAAACTAAAGATCGCATGATTCTTGGTTTTTTTCCTCTTTTATTCATTTTTGCAGTTTCTGTCGGCACAACTGCGGCTCATTGAGATTAATGTCGCTTGGAAAAGGTTTTACAAATACTTGTCACGTTTTAAAAATACAAATGTTTTCAGTGCAGCTTAGTAACCTAGATTTCACATAGATTTCAGTGACGTGGCGTGTTTTGCGATGTGTCGATCGATCTGTCATTTAAACCGATGGAAAAGGATTGATAACCCAAGCAGCAAAGATCGCAATAAATAGTTTATCGGTTGATTATTGCGATTATATCGGTGGCAATTCATCGCAATATTATCGAATAAAAAATTGTGATTTATGGCGATTGAATCGCTATGCATCGCAATTTTTGTTTAATAAAATCGCGATCAATTTTCGTCGATAAAATCGAGATTAAATCGCCACATATCGCGATTTTTGTTTCGATAATATCGCGATAAATTTCCGGGCGATAAAACCGCGATTTTATTGCAACAAGGTCGAGGATAATCGCTCGGATGTTGATGATCCTAGCGATTTTATCGCGATTTTATTGCGATTTTATCGGCGATAAAATCGCAACTTATCGCGATTTTTCCGTTGAAAAATGCTACTTGGGAAACAGGGTTTTCGCGGCAAACACCTTAATAATCGATCTTGCACCATAGATTAAATGGAGAAATATCGATGATCGATCATTCACGCCTCGCCACTGTTAGATTTATTTAAACGGATAGAGATCCGGGCTCAAAAACAATTTTAAAGCATATATCTGCTGCGGATCTTACGAAAGACTACGTACTTGCTTGGTTTGTAATTCGACGTTGGTGCCACCCTCTAAAAGATACTTGACGACCTCCTGATCCTCGCCCGGTCGCTCTACCTCTTCCTTCGTGACTTGGCATGCGTAGTGTAAGGCTGTTGCACCTTCCTCATTCACAGCGTTCACGTATGCCGTTGCGCCCTCTACGCCTTGCCGAGACTTCACTGAGTCTATCAGGTGTTTCACGACGTCTGCTTTGCAACTTCGGGAAGCTAAATGCAAGGGAGTCTCTCCAATCTAAATCAACAGAAGTGTTTTCTGTTAGAAATCTTATAACTCAGCCATGAAATGCTTTCGAACAACACTTTTTAATCCTGTCTATGAAGAAAGTTGGGATAAGTATATTGAAATACTTTATCGGACTGAATATTCAAATGTTCACGCCAAAAAAATGAATAAAATCTCAATAAAGAAATGAAAAGATAATGGTATATGCACATGGGTTCCTTGTGAACTCTCAAATATATGCATTTTAATTTTTTAGCCGCTGAGTAGCTCTCAAAAATCATGTCTAATTGAATGGTAGTATCTGATAATAAAAGTATATTAATAGCATTTCTCATAATACAAGGTGAAAATATTTTAATTTTTTTGGCAATCTTGAAACATATAATCGCTCCTACAGTTGTCACATCTATGACACATTTTTTCTAGTAGTTTTAAACTTGCGAATTTAACCGCTAGAGATCTTTGTTCTCAACATGTAACAATCAGTGGCGTGACGTGACTATATCCGGTAGGCGTTCGTTCGGTAGGAGTGTTAACTTTAGGGGGGGGGGTTAGAAAGGTTCACTCCCCTTCCTTAAAGAGGGGTTCGGGGGGCCTCCCCCGGAAACTTTTTAAAAAATGAAGCCGCAAGAACACGATTTTAACCCTTTCTGGTGAAAATTGTGCCGGTAAAATGTCATTGAAATTTTGTTCTTTTTACCGATCGGTTTCCTGTAATTTATTTTGTTAAATGATAACGTATTTGCGCAACACGCACCTGCAGAGAGAGGTGGGAGAGGGAGACTGGGAAACTGGGAGATGCGGCCCGCAGGTGCAAGGGGGAAAGCGGAGGGCGAATCGCGGCATAGAGGAAATTCGGCGGTTCGCAAACCCCTGCGGACCACTGCTATAGGAAACAACTGGACTGATGAGCGGCTCTCCACTCTCGTTCTTTTCCCCTCCCTTTTCTCTCTGCTGTGTTCCCTCCACGAGCGCGGTCCGCACTTGTCTCCGAACCGAATGCTCACACTCCGCTCTGCGCCGCGCGCCGGTGCCTCTCCTCTCTCGTGTACCCTTTGCCCCTTCATCATTGCACCCAGGTTCTCTCTCCTCACCGTACGCAGATCATCCAGGTTCGGTAGCCGGCGCGGACCACACGTCAAAGGATTTTCTCTCTCCGCCGCGGCACATGCCGCTGTCGGAAGCCAAGCGCCCGATACTTATTTGCGATCTCCTATTCTGTATTCTGTATTCTGTATTGCTTCCCACATTCTTAGCCATAATTTATTAATTGTTTCAAAATATTAATTGTTTCAAAATATTTTAGGGTGTTCGGCGAACACTGCGAACCTATGGACGCCACGCCACTGGTAACAATGAAACTCAATCCATTGTCAGGTGGTTTGTTGTTTTGTAATACTTATATTTGGTTTATCATTGCTCGACAGACCTTATTTTGAAAAAGTGGATCTCCTCCATCCTCAAGTAGAAGTAGGAGAGTGGTAAGATTCCCATTTTTGGCAGCAACATGAACCGGAGTCTGTCCATTATCCGTGCATAAGTTTGGTCCCGCTCCAGACTTCAACAACATCAAAGCGCAACGATCACCGTCCTTGACCCTGGCAGCTATGTGCAAAGGTGTTTCTCTCAGTTTTCCTCCTGATAAAAACCAAAATATTAATTAGCAGTTGGACCAAAGTATCAAAACTTCAGGAGTGAAGGACTGTAACATTCAATGTGACTCTGGGATTGACTGATAGGTGGTGCGGAAACAACATAGGAGAGGAATACGAAAATTAATTCGACTTTCGGTTCAGGGGCATAAGTACATACAATTAAATACTGTACACTCTCTCTGCGGTAAATACATTGACAAATATAAAACGTAAGAGACTTTTGTAGATTACATCAATTAATGCGCACTTTAATCTGTAGAAAGTTATGGTCATAAGTCGCCATAAGTCGAGGGAAAAGAGGGAAAATTTAAGACGAGAACCAGAATAGAATCAGTGATGTTCGTAACTCCTTTATAATATGGATGTTGTCAATCAACACGTTACTGGCATTTAAGTTTAAGTTATGTATTGTGTAGTTAATTTACCTCTAACATGTACTTCCGCACCGTATCCAAGGAGGGTTTCAACCACGGCAGGTTTGGCAGATTCAACAGCTATATGGAGTGCTGTATAGTTATCCTGTACGCAAAAAATCAGTGTGAAATAATTGAATGCATTATTATAGTGCATCGCAAATGCGCTTGTACCCTTTGAAAGCTTCGAAATCCAATAAAATCCACGAAATCTTTGTGGCAATTTATGAATGATTATGAGAAATGATGAATGAGAAAATCTTCTAAAATGGTTCAGTTATTCTTTGGGGATATGCATGAGTTATTAACTAACAATAAATTAAAAAAGAAATCGTAAAAATATTTTATAATTCTACTAAATTTTTTCTAATAAATAGTTGGGGTCATTTGAAGAAATAGCCATTTCATGCGATGAACATTCGAGGTACAAACGAACTTTATATTTAGGTCTACAAATGGATTCTAAAAAAATAATTTTACGTCAAATGAAAAATGAAAAAAATTTAGTTTCAAGAAGATAGGAGAGACGTATTCGGCCTTCGTTTTTTGAAAAAAAATTCTCCCAAATCCGAAGAAACACCTCAGCAGAGTATAGCGAGTTTAAGCTTACGCCTAGTGCCATGGCGCCTTCAATTTTTGAAGATGCAACAGAGACATCCATCAAGTACGAATAGTTGTATGTCTGCGCCGGCATTAACGCGCGTCCTTTTCCTCGCTCTACTTCCACGTTGTGCTTGTTTCCGTTTATCAAACCTTTGGAGTGGTACTCCAGGGTGCATGTGAGCAACTCAGTTCGCTTAAAACATAGCACACACAAATTGAATATCTGAGGGGAAAAGTACTTACATTAGTTGTTACATCCACTTTTTCACCTTTTTGGAGCAAGGTATTGATAATGCCCACGTGTCCGTATCTAGCTGCTGTATGAATACTCCGAGCTCCATCCTGAGTCGAACAGAAAGAATTCTCATTCAGAAACTTAATCATTAGGTATAACAAGAAGGGTACTTAAATTTGAGATAAAACCAGAAGGTACGCTCTCATTAAACACGGAGGAAAAACTTTGCGTGGGACTCAAATTTAAGGTAATATGGATCTCATGAATTGATAAGCCTCATCATACAAAATCCTATGAATTGATTTAATGATTACAACGCTTCAAAACTGGGTAGCAAGAAACTAACATAACACGATGAAAGTAATCAAATAATCAAATTATCACAATGAAGCTTTTGTTAAAAAGAATAGAAGTGTAGTTAGAACCCCCTAGTTTAAGAGGTGAGGTTTTTTGGGGTGCTTTAACAAGCTGCCAACCAATAGCTCAGCATAGCTGTATTTCTATGTTCTTCAGCAGACTGATTTTTATAATTAATAGTTAAAGCTATAGACAAAGTGAATAAAGGTAAAATGAAGCAATCCTGTTGGTTGAGACAGGTGGTCTTTACATGGCGACTTAGGGAGAACATTATTGACCAGCTAAAGGGCCTCCTGTGGGTTGCAGTTAGTCAGTGTATTACTCACTTCCTTTGTCAATTACAACCAACCGCTTCAACCAATACGATCGCTCCATTTTCCCTTTGTCTTCCTTTGTCTATCCCTTTGTCTACTTCTTTGTTTATCTCTTTGTCTATCCCTATGTCTATCAATTTCAATAATCAGCCCGCAGGGGGTCATGCATTGAAAATGCGATGGGCAATAAAACGAGGCTTACTTTATTTGGCATGTGTAGGTAGACTCCTTTTTTGAAGAGCATCATAGCGCAGTCTGCATGGCCGTTCAACGAGGCGATGTGCATGAGGGTGCTGCCGTCCTTGGTCCGCTCGAAAATCGAAGCCCTAAATTTATCCGCCAACAGCTCGATTATCGAGGCGTGCCCGTTTTCGGCTGCCAGGTGCATTGGAGTTCGATCTAGGAGACAAAATATTCAAATTCGTGGTTATATTCGTCTTTTCCTCGGACGGTTAATCTTTTCAATACCCCTCCCCCCTTCCATAATTTCATTACAGTCCCTATAGACCAGTAGCGTGGCGTGAATTGCGATATATCGATTGTCATGCCATTTAAACCTATGGAAAAGGATCGATAAACAGGGTGTTCGCAGCGAACACCTAAATAATCGATTCTTTAACATACATTTAAATGGCATAACAATCGATACATCGCAATTCACGCCACGCCATTGCTATAGACGCTATTAGTGGTGGCATCAAACCAGGAATTCTCTATTATATTGAATTAGATCCAAACAATAACAATGACATAACCTCTTGCAATGCCACCAGTGAGAATGAATCGATATATATTGCTTTTCTGTGATGTGGCACTCATAGCTCCATCCGCGATTTATTTGTTATGGTGCTAGATCACAGGCGTGCAAAAAAGCGCTTATTTTTATATCGATATACTGCGTACCAATAAATTATTTCATTTAGAATGCATTCACTACACTTCCCGGAAATGAATTTTAGTGTTATTTTGTCAGCAGTTGCCGCTGGTTCTTTCGTGTTACTTGTTTCGACCTGCAAGATACATAATTGCAGAATTGATTTGCACATGCAACCACAATAACGTCCTTCTCCCAGTCAGACTGTAATTGCAGACTTGTCAAATCCCTGCTATGGGCTGACTATGTAACTACATGGTGGTTGCACCGGCTGGTGTAAAATCTGCGTTCCAGACCCATGGTTGTATTTAGTGTATTTCCGCTCTTAGACAGGTCATTTTGCATTTTTATCGGCTGTGATAGGAGACAATGTATAACTCGAGGGAGGTTCAAAAATATGCGTTCCTCTTATGCAAGTTTGATCTATTTTTGTGAAAAGAACGGAGAAGAAACCCCATGGTCTCATAGCTTCTCTGCAATGGCTTTACCTCTTCCTCGGTTTAAAGACTGTTAAATCCCGTATTGTCGTTTTGCGCAAGGATATTAAATGAATTTTACTATATGTATCGCAAATGGGTAATTTTTATAGGAGGATTATAAATAAAGAAGTGCTTAGAAATGAAAACAAAATAATATGAACTATGCAAAACGATAATCCGGGTATCGGAACTTAGCCGTTTTGAAAACGCCTTCAAATGCGGCGTGATACCTCACGCATTCCGGAGAGTTCAAATAGTTGTATCATTGCGCCGTAAGAATGTGACGGAAGATTACAATTGAAATAGCCTTCATGCACGCTGGCCTTTTCGATTTCCGTTCACATTTTTGCGGTCATGAATGCATAGCTTAAGTGCGCTTCAGCTAGAATTGTATACTATAGATGTAGACAAACGTCATTTAAAATAGGAGGAGTGGAATTGAAATGTCTAAAGCAACTTTACATAATCTTGATTTCTTTCAACTGTGCGATTAAAAAGCTCAAATAATTCTAAGAAATGATCTAATTAAAATATATACCTTGATTATCAGTAATGGAAGCACTTGCTCGAACTCCATAAAAATATTTAACTAAAGCCTCATCTCCTTCAGCCGCTGCAATGTGAAGCGGCGTTTGCCCTTCACCCTAGAGCATGAGAAATATAAAAATTACTTGATTAATTTTTTTAAAAATGTTTACTTCTTTTGTTAAAATTTAAGGTATAGTCTCCAAATTATACAGACGCGTTTCTCTCGATTTGTACATTCAAGTAGAAACTATGCATATCAGGCAAATCAAGAACGGACAAAGATTGGTTAAAGTGCGAGAGAAAAAAAAAGGATTTCTTGACCGTCATCGAAACAGTAACAGCCAAAACATGCTGGGTCTTGTTCCAAAAAAAAAATGACGTAGATTAGTTTTTCGTTCAAAACATGAGTTAAGACGTTAAATCTAAAACGCTTACAATTTACGCACTGATTTAACTGGTTCCATTATTGATGTGAATAACTTTTTGGCTGTTTCTGTCTCAATGCACTGAAAAGAAAATCTCGGTGTATTTACTAAGAAAAGGGTAAAATTACCAAGAATTCAGGGTTCTATTTGATCCCAGTTTTTTCTTGGTAAAATTACCATTTATGGAATTGGTAATTTTACCAAGAATCTCGGTAAAACTATTGAACTTTCTCGGTAATTTTCCTGGACCTTGGTAAAAACGCCAATATTTTTTATCGACTGTGGTAGAATTACCGAGATAAAATGGAAAAGTTACCAGGAATTGATTACCAATAAAAGTGGTATTCTTACCTGAAAAAAACAGTAAAAATACGGCTTTTTAGGTAAGCTTACCAGTCTGTCTTGGTAAAATTACCAATAATTGGTAAAAAAAAGTGAGATTGTAAAGGTACCAGCGGACCTTGGTATAACGCCGAGAATTTTTTTTCAGTGCGGTAATCAACTCAAGCGGAGGGCATTTAGTATTATTATAAGAATCACGCATCGTAGCACTTTCCACATTTGGATCGGTATACGTGGTAGTTGAAGTGTATTTTTTTAGAAATGAGTTTTTAAGGTATGACTCACGTTCTGGGAGTCTACATTAGAGCCGTAGTCGACCAATATGCGAACCATATCGACGTCCCTCTTCCTCGCTGCAAGATGGAGTGCTGTGTCGCCGTTGTCTGTTGTCGCCCTCAACTGTTCTGCCGCCTGTTGCGAGAGGAGCTCCCGACACATCGACTGGTTCCCCGCTTCCACTGCCAGCAGTATCGGAATCCGTCCTTTCTGCAAAAATTCAAACTCAACATTACCATGTATTTAAAACTGTCGGTTGTGCAATGTGAAAATAAAAACTTGTTGGTGAAAAGAGGGTTTTAGGAGAGGGTAAGTATGGTAAAGACAATGGCAAGGCCAGAAATTCATGGTAGGAAACCTATGGTTTAAAACTCTTTATGAGGAATGGGCTGCCTAGATTTAAAAATCCTTGAAAATCACGAAACGCGTTGTTTCTTTATTAGAGATTTCAAATCAAAAGATGGGTGCAGGGAGAGGGGGGGGGGTGTGAGACCCTCTGGATCATGCTGACTCCAAAACTTGAAGAATATTACGGAAAAGAAAAATTAAGATGGACCGAAACTAGAATGCCGACATACCGGTATGAACATTGAAAATAACGAAAATCCCAGGATACAACTATTCATGCTCCGTTGTTGTCTCTATTATATACACGGATAATGGAAGGCGCGTCAGTTCTCCTACGCTCAAAGCAAGAGCAAGTAATCGAAGTTAAGAGATCTCGTAGGTTAGTAAATCATGATGACGTAATGTATTTAAGACATTTACAGGATTTTTTAATGTCTTGCGGATAAAACTACATTTAGAACATCGTTTGTAATGAGGTGAATGTGACCATTTTTTTCAAAAAAGAAAATTTGTTCTGTGATCGCGAAATGCACCTCTTATTACAAACTTACACTCAAGCACAAGAATGTTGATTTTGGTACCTACTTGTCGATACCTTTACCGCGAAATCTTAAAATTCTAACTAGATAACTTATTTTGTGATGATTAAATTCTAACCATGCCTGAACCCCATGCCATTTTACCTTTACATAAAGTGCATATGCCAAATAAGTTTACGTACTTTTAGACTGCGACAGGAGATCCGCCATCTTGCTCCTTGCATTTACTTTACACGTAAAAGTGACGTCAGACGATATTCTGTCGCAGTCTAGAAGTGCGTACACTATTTGGCGTGAACTCTGCATGAATATAAAAGAATGTCAAAAGTAACTAGGTCCCTGAATTTATGATCCCCACGAAATCCGGTATCCAGTTTTTCTGTCAGTTTTAATGAATACGTTTATCGTCTTCGTGGAACATACGGTTCAGATTTCCTGAGGATCATAGTATCTAATCAAAAATGTATTGCCTAGTTACCAACAATCTTTTTTTTTTTTTTTTGTAAATCCACACGGAGAAAAAAACTTCGTGCGTGGGACCCGAAGTTTAGGTCATATGGATCTCTGAAGTTTTCGGATTGAGCATCTTGACTTTTTAGGTCCAGCTACTGAGGTTTGGATCACACATCTGAAACTTCAGTTCTTACATCTGAAGTACTTCAGTTTTCACATCCGAAGAACTTCGGTTCTCACATCTGAAGTACTTCAGATGTAAGAACTGAAGTTTCAGATGTGTGATCCGAACCTCAACAGCTAGACCTAAAGTGTTCAGATGCTCAATCCGAAAACTTCAGAGATCCATATGACCTAAACTTCGGGTCCCACGCATGAAGTTTTTTTCTCCGTAAAAAAATGAGAGAGAGCTTACTTCAGAATCCGGCGAGCCCTTGGAGAGCGCATTGGCGAGGACATTGCGCCAAACTCCGGGAGCGGGCTTCTTTCCATTGGGGCCGGAGGGAACGATGCCAGCCACAAGCTTATTTTTGGCCACGAAGCTGTTCAGCAAGGAGGTCGCAGACCCCTTGGCACTGGGTATGCTGCCCCCACCGACCGCTACGGGGACCGCCCCCTCGCTCGGCCCCAACGTGCTCTTCTTAGCCACGGGTTTCGTTCCTGGAGTGTTCTTCGCCGCTTTCCCGCGCTTTTCCTTGTCGCTCGTTGACTTCGACGACATGCGCGCTTAGATTTACGCCACACCGTCCGCACGCTCCAAAATTCACATCCTCACGCCATTGTTCAATGGTCAGTCCAAAATGTCCAGAAAAATGTGCGCACGAACGAAAATTGTCAACAATGATTTTCCTCCCGTATCCGCTAAACGTCACATTATTCCACCACGCTTTAATTTTCGATCCGCAGTACGCGCAATGTCTCCCAAAATGAGTATGATCATGGTCATCGTCTATTACGTCACATTGTTCATGATGCTCATCCAAATTCACGTCGCACTTATTAGGACACTCCGCGTTGCTCACGTCAGGGCGCAAAGTGTTCATGCTGTTGTTGATGGTGAAGTTACTCGGTGCGAACTTCTACTCCACACTGCGTGAAAATAGATATTCTCGATAACGTCACATTGAATATGATGCACGCTCAACTAATGTTATGTATTTTGCAATCTTTCATATACTTTCATACTGCGATTCACAGCGCCTTGCCGATGAAACTTTATATTTCAAAAGTTGCACGATTTTTAGTACACAAAAATGTGCACGTGATCCAGTGACTGAATCTTTTTTAGTAGGTAAGTTAGGGATACGCGTGGAATATTCTCGTTATCGCTAATTTTTGAGCGCACTTGCTTTGATGGTCACTCAAATTGCCTTTTCAATCTAAATAAATCCTAAAACTTTGAGAGAAAGGTACCTCAGTCGTGTTTGCTTTCTTTCTTTATTTCACGGCCTGCTTCTCACATCCTGCGCAGCCAAGAGGTATTATTATAAAATCGCAAACTACATTCCCCCTGTAACATTATTTTATTGTCCCATCTTACATGATGCCCTTCCAATGGGTTGAAAATATAAGAAAAATTAGATTTGAATGTGGCAAGAATCTCAAAACAAACAAGATGATAAGAAGCACTTTCTTTCGAATATAATTATACGTTTGTCACCAGTCAATCTCTCAGTTTTTACCAATGAACTTGAATCGTGATTCCATCAATATTATCGGTATTTGTAAAATCCCGGTTTTCTACAAATGGATTTTGATGTTCTGTTGTGGCAGAATGTTTGGAGGATGTTTATCATTTCTATAACTCTTTGACCCTCTAACTTTTCCTTTTTTTATAACAGTTAGTTGATAGTTCTACCGTTCCACTGGACCAATTCCTGTGATTTTAACGATGATGGTGGTAGTCCTTGAGATGAGCCCGCTCTATTCAGATTTTGGAAGTATGATCCAGGTTTTGTATATTACGTGGTAAAGTTGAGAATTATCTCATTTAAACAATGCAAATTTTCATTTTTTATCAAAGTGTGTTTTAATGATCTGCCGGACTAAGTTTCATGAAGTTTGCGCCTATCGATACGAGACGCTCCTCAGATGAACCCGCTGTATTCAGTTTAACTCACAGGAACTCGCAAAGGAAGCGAAGCATTGGCGGCTCCAGCAAATTTGCAACATTGTCCTTTCTCCATTTCAACCCATGGGAATGTATCGATTCTTGGAGGGGCCAGGTGCTTCGACAAGAATCGATTATTCAGCATAGGTTTAAATGGAGGCGATCTGGGGTTGCCAAATTGCTGGATCCGCCATTGAAGCGAAGTGCCCTTGGGGGTTGAACCGCGTAGTTGCCGGGGGGCTTAGCCTCCTAGTATCTAGATCCCAATCTTTGAAGGGAAACGTCGAAAAAGATATAGGCTACGTGGTGCTTGCAAAATAAACGTTTTGTCTTCCCTCTCTACTACCCCTCATTGCTGTGAGCTGCGACTCGCTCCTCTTCTCTCATATCGTGTCCCCTGCACCCTTCTCCCAAAGTCCTGAACCTAACACCCCTCAGTCACGAATGAACATAGGTTTGTTGTGTAGCAGCGCCAGCTCCACCACCATACTTTTTTATTCCTTCGCGCTATGACACAGTGCCATAGTTCACAACCACCACTACGACCATCACTACCTAACACACTACCTTCCCCCACCGGCTCACGATAACAATTGTTCGATTGACATAGAAACACTGTCTAGCCTTGTTATTTGGCTATTTTCGTGTTTCTGCGGTCTCAGGTAAGTCTCGTCACAACGTGAGATAGATATTCAGGGGTAGAAGAGAGTAAAAAATGGATATCGCAAGAAATTGAACTTCCATTTTTAGCTCATCCTAGCTCGATAAAAAATTTAAAATTGCTCTATTAAAAATTTCAGACGATTACAAAACCACAAGAATATACCGACGGTGTAAGTCGGCAACCATACAACACGGTTTGCGACGTCGCAGACTCCCTGTCATACTTCATTTTTTAAACGGAAAACTACTCAACGGCAATTCTTCTAAACTGCCGTGATTTTTCTTTTCTGTGCGAAGAAAATTCAGCAAAAACTTCCAGGAATGATGCCAATTAGCTCTCCTTTAAAAAATTAACAGGGAGGCGGAGACTTTCAGACACCGCAAACGATATTATGTGATTGTGGACTCACGCCGTCTATATACTTCTCCATTCCTGGGCCAGGAATGAGTTCAAAGAATTAGGATATGTTTTAGAAATTCAAGGGCTGTTCCGGAAAAAATAAGATCCAAACGGGTTTACAATCTATTGTCGAGTATATATCTGTGTTTTTTGTGGTTCCCTGATTTATCGACGGTGAAACTACTAGGCCACGTATCTCGGTTTGCGACGCTGCAGACTTCCCGTCATTCTTTATTTTTTAAACAGAAAACTACTCAACGTCAATGCTTGATTACTTACGAGATTTTTCTTCTCTGAGAGAAGAAAACTCTGTAAAAACTTTGAAGAATGGTATTGATCAGAAAAACAGAGAATCTCAACTTTTTTTATAAAATTCAGAATATAACTTTTAGTTTGAGAATTATGTAGTATTATGTACACTAAGCCGCATAGAGACCCTCATAGCATTAAGCAGATGGCACGGCGCCGACACTAGCAATAAATGAAAGCGGAAGAGAGGGGTTTTTTGTCAATCTTTAACATTCATCACTTGCTGCACCTATTATACCTTAGCAGAAGTTCAGTCAACAAGACAATTGGATGTATGTATGCTAAAAGCTATGGACAAATCGGGTTTTAAAACTGAGCAGTTTAATTTGAGTAAAGTTCAAAGTATTACAAGCAAATACAACTTCTTTTTAATGAAAAGATGAATAAA